TTGAGGGAGACCGTGGTTCGCAGCAAGGTGGCCCGAGGAAGTCCCCAGAGGCCCTTCAAAGGCACCATAGAGGCCTCCAGAGGCCCACGAGAAGCCCCTGAAAACGTATCCTGAGGCCCCCACGAGGCCTTTTTAGGAGAAGCCTTCGCAAAGAAAACTTCCGAGGACGGGGAAGAGTTCGCAGGAGAAGGCAAGAACGAGAAGGAGGAAGAGGACTTTTGAGGAAAGGAGAAAAGGGAACATATGATACAGGCGACAAACATGGCACACATAACGTATTTACCTCTACCAGATTGCGCCCGCAGGCCAAACTTTCAGGAACCAAATGCGTAGCGAAGCGCCAATGCAGTTTGATACATACATGTATGGGACGAATGCGTTGCGTGGAACACATGGGCGATATGACCAGATGGCACAATCATGTAATGTGGCATGGGGAAGGTCAGGTCGTGCACGTGCTAATACATGTTATGATGCGGGGCATGCCCTATGATGAGATCTGATCTGTGAAGGGATGGCTGCAGGCTCGAACAGTGCATGGTGATATGGGAGGCCACCCCGGGTGGAAGTGGCCACTATATGTGCAAAGCCAAGAGAAACAACGCTATGATGTGTGATCCCGATGGGTGGCCACGAGTGAAACAATTGGAAACCAGATGCGCCGACGTGCGCCACATGCGTCCACCGCACATCTCTAGACGAAGAACAAAACTGCATAGCTGCATAAACGTAAATTTTTGGTTCTCCGCGCGGATTTCTTGGATGCGCGCTGGACCCCCCTCCCCGGCGCGCGGAGCGCACCAGAGGCGGCGCCGGAGGCGTCGCCGGGGCCGCCCAGCGCGGATGCAAGAAATCCGCGCGGGCCTCCGGAAGTTGATGTTCATGCCGTGCTCTCTTCTTCGAACTTGAAAGCCAGGTGCGCCAACGTGCCCGCATGCGCCCACCGCGCATCTCCCCATCTAGTCTAGGTGGTGAGGCTGGGCATGTCGTCCTACAAGCGGATTTTGAGAGAAAAATCTGAAAATAGTCAAAACCGTATTGGAAGATGTTCAAGAACGGTAGGAGAATCGTCCCCATACTATTTCTGACTCTTCTTGAATGTTCCTCCTGTAGAGTGGCATGCCCGACCTGAATCCAGTGGTGACCATCTTCCCGTTTGGCAGGCCCGCGCGTCCGTAGGCCTGGCGGCAGCCTGGGGGGGTGAGGTGGTCCCGCGGCGGCGGCCAGCCGCGGCCTCCCCGGGACGACGCCGAGCTTTTCGCTCGCCTTCGGCGGCTCTCGGGGTTCTCTCCTGCGGTTCGGGTGGTATCCGATCGGGCTCAAAGGTTCGGGCGACGATCAGAAACGGGTGTCGGGATTCTCTCCTGAGTTTCGGGTCTCGGGGTTCTCTCCTGAGGTTCGGGCGGCGATCCAAAACGAGCCTTACGCAATATGACGCAGAGACCTTACGCGGTGGCTTGCGAGGGCCGCGAGCGCGGCACGCCGCATTGGAGGCGAGGGCGCTTGCGCGCGACCTTACGCGGGCAGCTTACGCGCCAATGTCGGCGCAGAGGACCCCGTTTTTGTTGCGTCGTTCATTTGTTTTCGGCGGTTCTCGGAGTTCTCTCCTGAGGTTTCGGCGGCATCCATCGGGACTCAAAAGCATTAGCTTGATTATGCTGTTTTTGTCGTTGTGCGTTTCATGTGTTCAGGAATCGGGAAAGGCCGACTGCGTGCATGACACGCCTACAGTCAGCCCGTAGAAGAAGGACGCACCAGAAGGACGCAGGGGCCTTGGAAGGCCATGTCGACACTTTGCGGGCGGGGCGCGGCCAGCGAAAGCGGCCGAGGATGGGCCGAAGGGAAAGGATGCAAGGATAACCTTGGAGAGTTGCTCGTACTTTCTACGCGGATTGACTGCGCACCCATGCACGTCGGTCGGAAGAAGTAGGTCAATATCATGAAGTAGGAAGGCGGGCGAAGTAGATTGCGTTCAAGCCCTCCCAAGGAAATTCGCCGGCCCAACGGGCCAGAGGCGTGCTAAGATCTCCGGTAACTGGTTAACAATGCTTCTAGTTCGCGCGCGCGGGGCGGCCCCTGGGGGTCCCCCGGCGAAAAGTACCCCGACCGCAGCCCGAGCAGGTCTACTCAGAGATGGTTTTGAGGGCCTTTGTTTCGACACCCCTCACGAGGACCGTGGTTTCCGAGGGTGGTGCGCTCGACTACCCCGCCCCAAGAGGCCCCGAAGAGCCCCCCAAGAGGCCCAAGGGGGCCCCAGGACGCCGCCAAGGAGCCCCAAGAGGCTTTTTTGTTTCTCCCCAAGGCCCCCAGCGGATTCCCGCCACAAAGGCCCGACCGCCGCATCCGCGGCCTGAGCACTTGCTATCCCAGCATTTGCCGAGCACGCCAGCTCCGAGCCAGGCGAAGCCCCGAGGCGCCCGCGACGCGACCTGGCCTCAGGGCACCGCACTCTTGCTCTTGCCTGCACGGCGCCTCCGACCTCGCGTGTCGGGATCGCCGAACAGGAGACCCTCCCCAGGGTCGGGCGGCAGGTCCGTCGGCGTCCACCTCGGTCCCTGCAGCACCTCGCCCGTCAGCAGGCACCGCTCCTTCGGCTCGTCGGTGCTGTTGCCTTCAAGCGCCACGAAGCCCTCGACGCCCTGCGCCTCGAGCTCCGCCACCTCGTGCCCCAGGATCCCCTCCTTCTCCTCCGTCTCCTGGGGCACCTCCCCCTCGCCGCCCCCGCGCAGCAGGGCCGAGGGAAACTCCTCCAGGTAGGTCGCGACAGCGGCGCCTCGGGAAGACGTGCGGGGAGCTGCAGTGCACGTCGTGCTGCTCGCCGTCCCCCCCTCGTCCTCCTCGGTGCCCTCGCCTAGACCTCCCCGTGCGTCGTCACGTTCTGCGTCGCCTGCAACCGCCACGGCAGTGCCCGTCCCGAGCTCGCCGTCGATGGTGGCTGCTATGGCCCGACGCCTGCCTGCCAGCTGCTCCTCCAGCGCCACGTTGCGCGCCTTGACTAGCTTCCAGGCGTCCTCCAGCCGCGCGATGCTCTCGAGCTGCGCGTCCTCGTCGGCCCGCTCGGCCTCCAGCGCCGCCAGCTCGCCCAAACGCCACCCGGCTGCGAAACCTCCCGTGAAGGCCTGAACCTCCGCCACAGGATTCTCCGCCTGCCAGACGCCAGGCGCCAGCCAGCCGCACTTCCGTGCCACGTCCTCGCTCTCCAGCTCCTCCACGTCCTTCTCCACCAGCTCCTGCGCCGAGCCCCCGTAGAAGAGAAAGGGAGGGGACGCCTCCTGCACCGACTCCCCAAGCTCCGCCGTCAGGCTCCGCTCAGGCGCATGTTGCTCGCACTCCTCCACTCTGGGCGTCACGCCGAGAGCTTCCAGGAGCACGTCCTCCCGCTGCTGCACTGGCGCTCCCCAGACCCCTGGGGGCCGCCGCGGCTGATAGGGGGCCGCCCCCGCGTCCAGCCTGGCGCCGCGGTCCGCCATCTGCAGCTTCCGCTCGACATCCGCGACCGAGATAGCCTCCAGGGGCACAGGCCGCAGCTTCGCCGCGCGAGGCGGCGCGGCGTGTCGGGCCCAATTGCCCCATTCCAGGTCCTCGACCGCTGCCTCCAGGATGTCGTCGCTGATGCCCAGGACCCGCCCCGCGGCAACAACCTCGCCGAAGGTGGGAGCGTGGCCGCCCAGGCGATCCGCCAGCCGCCAGTGCGCCGCCAGGGCGCGACGGATGGCGGCGGTCCTCACCGCGAGCGCCGAGGCCCGCGTCTCGCCATCGGCTTGCCTTCGCATCCGCCGAAGGCGTCGTGCCAGCGAGCGCGCGCTGGCCGCAGCCCAGCGCCTGCCCCCAGCACTGCTCTCCATGGCCGCTGGCACGCGCCCGAGCGCCCCACGGGCGCGCGCCGCGCGAGGGCCTCCCGCACGCCAGGCTCGCTTGAGCCAAAATGGCTACGGAAAGGAGCCCCAAGATGCCCCCAAGAGGCCCCCAAGAGGCCCCCAAGAGGCTTCAAAGAGGCCCTATAGAGCGCTCGAGGGCAGGCGGAATGAGCGAAGCGATTCAATAACAGCACGCAGCATACGCATACCGATTATTGCAGGAAGCACGTCGGCTCTTGGAGTAAGACCTGGGAATCCGGAAATACCTATTTCCAACGACCGACGGGTCACCTTGGAACATAGCTCGCCCTTGCTGTGCGGGTTGACTGTGCACCGACACTTGCCAGGCAGATCCGGAGCGAGGCGAGCGTGCTCGCCGATGCGGGGCCCAGGCTTGGCCTCGCCAGGATCGGGGGTGAAGCGTTGTTGGCAGGGCTCGAGCTGAAAAGTGTGCTTCGTTTTCGTTGTGTGCTCGTTCTCCTCCGTTCTGTCACGGGGCGCACGAAGGACGTACTCGCCCAGCCATGTACATGAGCACGGCCCCCCGATCCACGAGACCCGCCGCGTGATACGTCGCGCAAGGCGTACTCTCGAAACAGACGCGGATTCGTGCACGTGTGCGCCCTTTTTGTCGCTCCTGATCTGTCCTCACTGTCTTTGCTGCGAATCGAAAACAAAACGAAAACGGTCCACGAAATCCCCCAAAACACCGTTTAGCTCGAGCCCTGGCTGACACTTCCCGATTCCTCACCCCTCTCTCGGTGTTCCCGCTCAACTTCGCCCTCAACCTCGTGTCCCAACACCCGTGCGACTGCCCTTGTGTTCAGTGCCGAGTTAGACCGCCCTGGCCCCGAAATGAAACAACATATGGAACAGCAGACACAACATCCGATACAAAGTCGCCACATCGCGACAGCAATGTCGGTGTGAACTGGCGCAGCAGATCGAGGTAATCAGAATAACCTGGACGTGCTTTCAGGAAGAACCCACATACACCACTAAAGATAAAGAGAAGATTAGACAGAGCCGGGCAGCCGCTACTTCTGCATTACTTCTGCTTTGCAGCCTGTTCCCTTGTACTGCGACCGCGACCGATAATCCCCCGCCACTGCGCTCTGCAAAACACCGAGCCCTCCAGCCTGCCTGTGGTAGCACAGATGTAGTATTTCAACCTCGCGCGTAAAAGAGAAGGGCGAGGCGGACGAGGAGCGTGACGAAGCAGGACGGAATGAGAACCGGGATGAGGCAAAGGACGCACGGGGTACGCCCTCGCTTGCAGATAAGCACCGACGAGCTCCTCTGCCTCCTCATCCTGCTGCCCGTCTGCCTCCTCCTCCTCTGCGTCCTCGCTCAAAATCCGCCGACCCTTCGACGTGTGTGGGACGCTGTCGTCGTCTTCGTCGTCGTCGCCAGTCCCAAGAAAACTAAGGAACGAACAGAGAAACACGTCGGATTGAAGTCGATTCCCTTCCTTTTTCCTTTCCCTGATGGGGGGAGTCCCGCGGGTCAGCGCCTAAGACGAAGCCAGGACGAGGATAAATTCCGACGAGGATCAATCGAGAATCTCTGAGATCCGGCGGCTCTGGAAGATGATCGGGCGTCGTGGCCTTCTCAAAGCGTCCCGGTACACGCTGCGAGCGTTCCAGAACGCTCTGGAACGGATATGTCCTCGTCCTGGCCTCGTCTGAGACTTCCCCCCCGCCGGGGGTCTAGGCGAGTCCCCGGGGGTGGTATAACCGGGGGGTTCGCCCTGTGTTTGGACGCCCGAAATGGGTACGGAAGAAATGGGTAGAATGCCCAACAACAAATGTTGTCCCAGACAAACAGCGGCCGCTGTTGAGCAGGCGGCTTTTTATCTTCAGCGCACAACATCCGCGCGGCGGCGGCGCGCACAGCGAATCCGCTTCAAAATGAACAGGAACTGCGGTTCGTCTTTGCCGTACCGATTCGTCGGTCTGCTCGCCTGTTCGTCTTGCTGTACGATCGAAACTGGTGCGGAAAGAATCGCAGCTTCGATGGCACCGACTGCGGGGGAGGCCAGCCCCGGCCCCGGCCCCGGCCCCGGCCCAAGCCGTGGCCGTGGCCCCGGCCCTGGCTCGCGGCCCTGGGGCCCCGGGGGAGGGCCTCCCAGGATTACCCCCCGGGGGAAGCCCGGCCCTCGGCGTCGGCGGCACCGGCCGTGAGGCCTTCACAACATGTCCCGAGACGCATCCACGGACCAACCTCGCTGCCTTTGCATAATTGACGTTTTCTGATTCGGCGGTTCGACACTGGGCGGAAACGGCGGGGTCAGCTTAGTGCGACTGTTTGCAGCAGAGCGTCCTGTGGGGGGAGACTCCTCCACCTGCTTGAGACAGGCGACAACAAAAAAAAAGATCTACTCCATTGGGGTGGGGGAGAGGGGGTGCGAGGGCCCGCACCGATCGGCAAAGCAATGAATCAGAAAACGATCACGTACTTGATGGATATTTGACGATCCTGGGGCCCGAACCGGGTCTCCAGATGCAGAGGATGGAGAGACACGCTTCCCAACCTCGTTCTCGTCCTCCTCCCCTTCCTGGCTGTCCATCCTCCCTCCTCCCTCGTCCACCGTTGCACCCGTTGCCCCCACTTTCGGCACGCCGCGGACCAAAAGCGGCGCGGCCTCATGCGTTTCGCGCAAACGTGCGTAACGTCTACTCGCATGCGTGGCAGCTCAGCCGGCTGAGTTCAGACAGTGGACAGCCGTTCTGGACTCCTGTGCCAGCTGCCCAGGTTCGAGCTGCTTCGTAGTCTACCTATGCAAGTAAATTACGACGGGCTGCAATTCTGCAGTCTAATCGCAGCAGAAGATAAAGGTGACAATCGCCGACACCATCGAGGCCTTGGGCGACACTGTAAACATGCACCTCGTCTACGACGACCTTTGCCCCAACATGTGCGGCGCCGTGGTTTACCCGTGCAAACACAATGAATAGCCTGCAACATACTTGGCTGCCACTCCGCTGCGCAATCGCTGCAGTAGGTGGCTGTGATGCCCACGCACAACTCCGACGGCCATGGCACGGGCGGGGGGGGAGGAGGCAGAGCACCGCTCCGCCGGACGGAGGCCCTGAGGACACCACTATATGTGGCACGTGCTGCAGAGGGAGCGCCAGTGTCGCACGTGCTCAGGAATGCTGCCGCTGCTGCGATGAGGGCGTTGTCCCCCTGGATGGAGGATCGACGAATAACGCCAATGTGGCAATCCCTGCAGCGGGAGCACCACTCACACGCATGCATGAGAACGCCCAGCACTACGGCTAGAGTGTCGCTCCTCGCTGGATCCCATTAGATGCGGCAGATGCTGCACGTGGAACACCACATGTGAAACGCAGAAGGCGCTTTGGTGTTAAGGCACTCGTAACGGAGGTCCCCATAAGTGTAGATTCTCTCCACGCAGTGCTTGCACTGAGGGGTGTGCTACCTCGGTGTCCTGCGGAATTGGATGATCCAGCTGAGGCTTCGCCTGGTGCCTGCCCATGGGTGCCTCGTGGGCGTCTCGTGGCGCCAGGTGGGCCAGCCACGGTTGCTCCTCGTGGGCGTCTTGTGGGCGCCTCGTGTGCCCGGTGGGGTCAGCCGAGGTTTCGCCTGGTGCCCACCCGTGGGCGCCTCGTGGGCGCCTCGTGCGTCGGGTGGGTCAGCAGATGTTTCGCCCGTTACCCGCCCGTGGGCGACTCGTGCGCTGGGCGGCCGCATAGCTTGCACCACCTGGCTTGAGCCGCACGGCTTGCTCCACATACCTTGCACCACCTAACGTGCAGCACATAGCTTGCAGCATACATCGTACACCACACAACTTACACCACGTATAATGCGCAGGACAGCTGGCATTCCGTGTCTTACACAGCACAGGCTGCACCGCATAGCTTACACCGACACGTCAGGTCTCACATCACATAGCTCGCCCTGCACAGCTTACAACACCTAGGTAGCTCACACAGCATAGCTTGCACCACATACATTGTCCACCATGACTTACACCACATCCCACACGGCACATACCTCACACACAATGCAAACATTGTCTGTTTCGGCTCAAAGATGGCAAGCACAGTTCGAAAAAAAATGGTTTCAATGAGTGTCTGTAGCGAGTAAGTCTGAGTGTGAGTGATATCGGGACATCAAACCACGCGTTTCGCCAGAGACGAACCCACAATCTGGGAGCAAACTGCCAAGTGGCATATCCTGGCGGCTCACACTCAGGTTGCCCAAGTGCCATGCCTGCCGCATCGCGGTGATCATGGGGCTCCAAAACGAAAGGGGTCTGGGACGCCCAAACCAGCGTTTCGCTTGAGACGTCCGCACACCCTGGCGTCTCCCCCGCCGGGCCGAGTCCGATGTCACCTACATCACGATGATCATGGGTGGGCGAGTATGAGTATTGGCGCAAGTGTGAACGAGTATGAGTGCGAGTGAGTCTGAGAGTGAGTGGGTCTGACGGTCGGAGTGTGACCGAGTACGAGTGTGAGTGAGCGTGAGTGTGTCTGAGTGTGTCAGAGTCCGAGTGCGATTGAGTCTGGTTCTAAGTGAACATGATCGAGTCTGAGTGTAAATGAACCTAGTGCGACCGAGTCTGTGTGAGTGAGTGTGAGTGTGAGTGAATCTGCGTGTGAGTGAGCCTGAGTATGAGTGAGCCCGAGTGTGAGAGAGGCTGAGCGTGAGTGAGTCTGAGTGTGAGTGCGTCTCGGTGTGAGTGAGTCTGGGTAAGCGAGTCTGAGTCTGAGTGTGAGGGCACCTGAGCATGCAAGAAACTAGTTGTGATTGAAGGGAGGAGGCGGGAAGGAAAGAGGAAGGATGCGGAGGCATCACTCTCTTAGCAGTGATCCTACACTCTGGATGTTGGAGAACCTGTCGAACCCCCCTCGGGACAATCTTGCGAACAATGAACATTACCCGAGATAGGCGAGAACAAGTCATCACAACATCGTGGGATATACGAGGGTTCGTTTCAACTGTGGAGGGACGGGACGAGGCACGAAGGCGGCGCGGGGAAGTGCTGCAAGAAGCGGGCAAGTACGGAGGGGGGCCGAAGACGGTCGGGAGTCCCAGCCTGCGGGTCCCGGAGCAGGCACCGCCGGCGGATCAGCTTGGCCTCCTGGAGAAGGGCCCACCTCCGTCATCTTTCCCCTCGCCTCATCCCTCCTCCCCCCCTCCTTCCCTGACTCCCCCTCTCCCCCCTATCCCCCCTAGAGGCCTCCCGGATGGGGTCCGAGCAGATGGGGTCGGACGATCGCGCCGCATCGCTGATGCATCGGCGATGCGGCTCGGTGCGGAGCCCGACTTTCTCCATGCCGACGACGCCGATGCGGCGCAATCCTCCGACCCCGACCCAATCTGAGAGCTCGCCATCGCTCGGACGTCCATTCCCCGTGCATGCTTCGGATTCGTGCGTGTATTTTTTCGCAAGGTGACCCAAAAGGCTCCTCGATGGCCCTCGCCGAGAACAACAAGCACACGTCCGAGCGATGCCAAGAAGCCCAAATCCCCTCCTCCCTCCCGCAACGCTGGCGGCACTGGGCGCGTTGGTTAGGACTCGGGAGCTGGGCCGTCTCTCCTCTGGGTGAGGCCGACGCCGGCCTCACGGTCGGCGGCAGCGCGCATGTAACGTCGTCTTCCCTCCCCTCCCTCCTCCTCTGTCCCTCTCCCTCCTCCCCCTCCTCCTCCTCCTCCTCCTCCTCCTCCTCCTCCTCCTCCTCCTCCTCCTCCGTCTCTCTCCCTCCTCCTCCGTCTCTCTCCCTCCTCCTCCTCCTCCGACTCCTCTTCCTCCTCCTCCTCCTCCTCTGTCTCGCCCTCCTGGTTCCCTCCTCCTCCGTCTCTCCTCCTTCCTCCTCCTCCTCCTCCTCCTCCTCCTCCTCGTCCTCCTCCTGCTCGCTCCTCCTGCCTTCCTGTTCCTTATGAAGAACTTCTCCCTGTCGCACCCCAGATTTTTTTTAGGGCGGGCTGGGCGTTTCGCCTGAGACTCCCTCACAATGTATGACACTGCAGCTGAAACATTGGTAACAATTTTGCAGATGGAGGGCGGGCCGTTTCAAAATGTGGCTCTCGCTTTAACGCCGCGCACGTTCGTTTCAACATTTGCCAGAGTTTCGCGGATCGAAGGCGAACCGTGTTCAACATGTAACTCTCGCCTTAGCGCCACGCACATTAGATTAACCAGAACTTGCAAGAGTTTCAAAGATTGAGGGCGGTTCCTCTTCAAACTGTGGCTCTAGTCTTAGCGCTGCGCACAATCGCTTTGAAAAATGAAACAGTTTTCGCATACTCCCGTGATCAATGCGCCAAGAATGGTGTTTTGGAAGGGTTCAGGATTTTGACAGTGCAACCGTTTCGTTGACTCGCGGTGCTAAAGTCCCAGAAATGGCGTTCTGGCACGACTCAGGATCGTCAAGACGCAACAGGTCAGGTTGATCAGTGGCGTTGTAATCCCGAGAACAATGTTTTGGTATGCTTCAGGGTCTTCAAAAGGCTGCCTTCCAACGAGGCAATTCCCTCAGTCGAAACGAACCGTTGCAGGGGCCTGCGAAGAGGGAGCTTGGAGGGACGGGCTTATTCCAACATCGTTGATGACTCTTGGGTTCACACTGGTCCTCCTCCTCCTCCTGCTCCTCTCCCTCCTCCCTCTTCCCGTCTCCCTCCTCCCGACCGTTCCTCCCCCTCCCTCTCCCTCCCCTCCCACCCTGGCGGCCCCTGGTGCGTTGGTCAAGTTTCGCAGGCCGAGCCGCACCTCCCACGGGCGAGGCCGGGGCTGGCAGGGTGGGATACAAGTACTGTACTAGAGTAGGAGCTCGACCACAAGAAACCTTCCACGAGAAACCCAACCCTGAGATCCCTGGACGTCAATTGATTTTGGTGTGGGAACGTCACGCTGTCCATAGCAAGACTATTGAGGCCCAAGAAACCCAGGGCACCCTGGAGGCAAGCAGGGTGTTTATTGGCATGGGTCTCCACTCTACTCCCCTAGCTGGTTCTTGAGCTGAAGGCGCCACCCGTGCGGTCCCCGCAAGAAATGGGGGGCCAGATGTCGCTGTGGGGCACGGCGTTTCCTCCCGCAAAGTGGATTCGATCCGAGCCTCCCCCTGCTCTGGCCTCAAGCCCATCTACCCTGACCCTCTATGTGCATCAAGAATCGCCGCCCGATGTTGGGGAAACCACAAGGTACTGATTCCGCTACTCCCTGGACCTCTCCTGTGACACGTTCTGGCCAGAATTCCGAGGATAGTCCAGCCGTGGCGCCGATAACCTTCCAGGACGAGCAGCGGCATCGGTGTTCTGTGCTCGTCTGACCCTCCCCCCCTCCTGAGGTCTCGGCCACTCGGGTTTCGATCCTCCAGCCTCGCAGCGGTGGCAGCCGTGAGCCTGGAGCAGCGAAGCTCGAGTGGCCGATTCCCGAGCAGGGGGGGGGGAAGGTCAGAGGAGGACAAGATAGCGATGCCGCTGCTCGTCCTTGAGGGTTATCGGCGCCACGGCTTGACTACCCTCGCGTCGTCGTCGTCGTCGTCGTCGTCGTCGTCGTCGTCGTCGTCGTGGTCGTGGTCGTGGTCGTGGTCGTGGTCGGGGTCCTCTAAGCTCAGCAGCCGCGAGCCCACCAACCGGTCGAGCCGCGCCACGGCTGCCGCCCAGAACGGGGCGCCCGCCTCCGAGGGCGCGGCGAGGGCGTAGGGGGGCGATCGGACGTGGGGGGGGGGGGCGAGCTCTGGGGACGATGCAGCTATGGCGTCAGGCTGCTCCTGCTGGATCCTCTTCTTATGATTATTCTTCCCCGTCCTCCTCCACCTCCTTCTCCTCCAAATTACTCCTACTCGTCCTCCTCCTCCTCCTCCTCCTCCTCCGCACGGCGACCACCACGACGACGACGACGACGACGACGACGACGACGACGACGACGACGACGACGACGGTCGGACCTCTCCTCCTCCTCTGGCTGACCAGTGGCGGCGGGCCTCACGCCACAGTGATGGGCGGGTCCTGGGATCTGCTGGGGGGGCACGGTGATCGGAGGGGAGCTCGCGCCGATAGCCAAGGCCTTGGGAAACCAAAGGGCACCGATACCGCCGCACCAGGGATCTCTCCCGGGATGCGTTCTGACCAAGATTTCGAGGCGGGAAAAGCGGAGGAAGAGTAGTGGTATCGGTCCCTTTTCCACCTCTGGGATCTCTGGTCCCCCCGGGAACGGAACCACGGGGGCGGCCTCAGACAAGAAGCCGTCGGGCTCGTCCCTTGGCCCAGCGGAAACGGCGGCTGACGCTGGACCTACAAGGGCGCTGCGCCCAGTGTTTCATGCGAGCGGTGGGAATCCAGAGGCGTGCGTAACGAGGCGGGCCGTGGAGCGGGGACAACGTGAAGACAGGCGGCATGGGCAGAAAGTCCCTGTGTGTTTCCCTCATACAGTCCCCAAAAAACAATGCGGGTCGAAAAGCTTGCACCCACAACAAAGTGGAAGTCGGACACTTCCTTTAGACCCCCTTCCCACCCTCCCTTCCTTCCATCCTTCCCTCTCTCCCCCTCGTCGTCCCCCATCCTTGCTCCTTTCGTCCTCCTCCTCCTCCTCCTCCTCCTCCTCCGCCTCCTCCTCCTCCTCTTCCTCCCCTCCCCCTCCCCTTCCCCCTCCTCCTCCTCCTCCTCCTCCTCCTCCTCCTCCTCCTCCTCCTCCTCCTCCTCCTCCTCCTCCCCCTTCCCCTCCTCCTCCTCCGCCT